TTATTATTCGTCATGCTAACCACTAACACGTGACAATATTATACTGTAGCATCCTGTTGCATTTTACACTTACTGATACTAAATATGTTCTTGTTTCTCAACTGCTAGATTTAATTATGGATGTTGTCACAGGAACAAGAATATGGGCGAACTGCACTAATGCCTACAACATTCACGAGTCAACGTTCAGGTCATGCATTGCGTCAGCGGGAACATAAACTAGTAAACACTCCGCATGAACAATGCTCTGAAAAATACATGGAAGTCAAATCATACGTATGGTCATACCGTCACATCTCTGGACACAAGACAAGTGAAGGCATAAGCGAGGAACGAGTGAAACTTAGCGAAACTGGGATAACATAGAAAAAACAGCTGAGTCATATAGTGACTAGGCTATGGGCTGGACGACCGGCAGATCGTTGTTCGATTCCCAGAGAGGGGCAGACATTTTTATCTTTTCCACACAGTTTCCAGACCATCTCTGGGCTCCATCTTGCCTCTTGACCAGAGGGTATCGCTGGCTCCTCCCACCCAGAGAAAAGTGGCGAGCGGGGCTTGAAGCTGACCGCATATATCCATCTAGTGTCGAGCCTGAGAATGCGTGGAGCCATACCTCCACTCTCCCATACGTCTGCATTATTGGGTGGCTATCTGAGCACAGTAACATTTCCACCTTTAGCTTATGGGCTGGACGACCGGTCCTATATTCCCACTAGGCAGAGATTTCTATCTTTATCACCATAATAAAATCAAGTGTGATCCCTCAACGCAGTCAACTGTTGATCTGGTACTGGAGTTCATTTCCCCAGTTATGAAGTCTCCGGAAATATAAAACTGACAATTTAATTCCTGCTTGGTGCCAGGATAGTTGCGCCTCTAGGCCAAATTATCCTAAATACATACTGTGCCGTGTTACTTCAGCAGTTTTGAGGTTAGTCCTTAATTTCTTACTCTTGAACAAATTCGTACTGACTCAATGGTGTGTGACCAAGATCTGGTCTTTGGCCGCGCCATAGCTCAAGCGGTCAGTCGCTGGCTTCCCACTGCGGCGGCCCAGGTTCGATCTCGGGTCTGGTCAAGTAGGATTTGTGGTGGACAAAGTGGGTCTGGGGCAGGTTTTCTCCGAGTACTTCGGTTTCCCCGGCCAATCTTCATTCCACCAATTGCTCCACAATCACCCTCACCTATCATCTGGGGCTGGTACAATAGGACAGAAGTGGCCGCAGTACAAGGGACTTAGTCCCACCCCACTAGCAATAAAAAAAAAGTTCTGGTTTACAGCTGTGGGTGTAGAAGTGCAATTACTTATGAGTAATAACAAATTTAGATTATGACAGTTCACTTTTCTTTCTTCTTATGTCTTACATTAGCTAAAATTACAAAATAACTTTATCGCAATTTTAGCTAAGCAAATATCTCAGGACAAACTTCGTATTTTATTTCTGTTTTATGGATGCGGGGGGAGACCGTTCCGTCCAATGCCCCTTAAATCAAATCATGTGCATGGCTTTATTAGAGTCTACTCCCTATTCAAAATTATAACAACTCTCCATAAGGAACAGGCAGATCAGTAATAACTTATGTTTACCCCGCCTAGGAATTAGTGGCAGACACCTACCTCTTAAAATTTAAGCGTCTGCAAACCAAGGTTTTCCGCACCCTTGAAAATTTCCCAAGGTCATCGAACACCTGGCTGCGATTATATAACAAAATTATGCATGCGAAAAGCAGAAGTCACACAAAATCAATAAGGCAATCGGTAGTAGAGGGCTAAAAGTAATCCTGTCTTTTGAATCGATTCAAGTATTAGAAAAATAGCTAATAACATCAGGGAAGAATCGTCATATTGGTAGTAACTGGGGAAAATAATGTAGCAGTTTTCACAGAATCAAACCCGAAGGCGATTAGCGGACTTGAGGTTTGTAGATGCTGAAGCATTTTCGGATCAGTCCGGATATCGCCTAGTTTTTAATCTTCTAACTGCAGGGGAAAACTCAAACCTCATCGATTTCAACTAGACGCTGAAGTGCAGTGTAAAACTGGGTTTAACAGAAGACTGCGGAATTATACGGCAAAGGGATGCACGTGCCAGAACGCGGTAGCATAGTTAGTTGAGGCACTATGCTACAAGCTGGAAGGTTGCGGGTTCGATTCCCGATGAGGTCATTGGATTTTTTTATTTGATCAAATCCTTCAAGCCTCACTGAGGCCCTGGGGTCTACTCAGCCTCTACCAGATAATGAGTACCGGGGATCTTTCTGGGTGTATAGGGCGGCCGGCGCGTAAGGCTGACCTCACCGCCATCTCTGAGCAAATTATCTAGAAAATATGGGAGCCTCGACGTCTAACAACCATACGGACCTCCACGGCCTGTCACAGGCATAGCTTTACCTTTTTACATTGCAATTATTATTATAAATACTCTCACTGAAGAAATATGCTCAACACTGGACGTCAGCCATGCTGATTAATTAATAACATTTTTGAGATACGTAAATGAAAGAAGGAACTGCTGTAGAGTGGGTTGCCTGTTTCGTGTCCCTTATATCAGATTCTGCTGAGCACATGGAGAAAATCATACTGGAACTACATGAAAACTTTCGAATAGTCACTAGGAAATGTCGTGATCTGACTTTCAACAATGCTGCAAATATGGCACGAGAAGTATTTAGGCTTATAAGCAGGACAGAAAGCCGCGAGTCATACTGACATACGTGTAACCTAATGCAGACTGTCACTACATCTTGACGAGAACTGCCGAGCGGAGTCTTGTGTAGAAGTTGTACACTTTTCTTTATAAAGTTTGCAAAATCTGTATTGTTTCTGTCCGCTTCCACACACCTATGGAATATGCATGGTTACGTGCTGAACAAATCTGTAACATGAAATGGTTTGCAGACGCAGATGCTGTGATGGCTTTGAAAAAAAAACACTGAAACTAAACAAGTTGTAACAGACATAGCTACAAACGAATCAGAAAATCAGTTATAAAATTGAGGCTAAATCATGAGCTAAAGGGTATGAAAAATATGACACCTCCATTTTCACTGTCTTGTGAAATCGACTGCTTCAGAGACTAAATAACATTTCCAAATAGAATGAAAATTGTAACGCTACATCACAAAGAACAATTGAATTATTGAATTCTCTAAGAAGTTTTATTTTTGAGACTTTAGGGGATTTAAGATTTTGAACAAACGAACATTTACATTTTTATTTATATAGATTAGAAATAATTTATATTAAACTTAAAAATAAACCTGTACGTTAATGGGAAATTCATACGTTTCGAATGACCAACATTGTGATTGAAATCAGCATCAGAGGAAAAGTAAGACGATCTTCATGATAAATATTAAAGAACTACAAAAGGACACTTAAATAATTCTTCAATGAAGAGAGAAAGCTGCAGTCACAACGTTCTATGTTGTCTGTGAGACATAGTGTCAGAACCTGATAACCTCTCAGACATATTGTTAACCGATTTTTAATTTCTTTCGAATAATCTGTGGAAGAGAGCCAGTTTAAAACGTTTGATGGTATTTTATGAAGGTAACATTAATATAAATTTCTTCGGAGACAAGGCACTGCAGTTTTCTTTTGTTAGGACATAAATGTCTGCAGCACCTTCAAACCTGTACAATTATGAGTTACAGACGTTTCCAAATATAGAAACTTCTTTGGAAATATTTCTCACAAAACCTCTCCCAAACTCCTCTGGGCAAAAACATTTTTCGGTCCTGCGAAGAGTAAAAACATGTTTAAAGAACATACTATGTTATAACAAAAATCCTGCTTCAAGAGCCCAGGATTATGATGTTGTGATCATAGACATTGTGAAATAAAAGTGAAGAAAATATTAAAGAAAATAATTATGAAGAATAAATGATACAAACTCCGTCCTAAGTGCAAACAATATATATGTATATATATAATGTATATATATTGTTTGCA